TTTGTCATGTATCCTGAAGTCAAATGCTTTCTAGTACTTGACATGACGATAAACTACATCCAACATCAAGGCCTCTAATCGGTAGAGTTTTTGAGCAGCTTAGAAGCACCGCTTAATTGCTGTTGTTCCCAGGTCTACCCTTAACCCAGAGTGGTCGTATCATCTCGTGTCTTAGCTATGGAACTAATAATAATAATAATGTACTTTATCGTCAAGTAATTACCCATATGGTAAACAGGGAAGTTCTTACCAAACGCTTCAGTTATCATATTTGTAAAGAAAGGATTAATAAGAAAAGAAAACAGAAGGGACATTGCATTTACCCCTGCTTTCCCATACATAGATCCGTTAAAGGCCTATCAAGAGTCCTCTACCCACATCCAACGCCTTTCACAGACATATTATTATTATTATTATTATTATTATTATTATTATTATTGTTTTTATTTTCTTTGATTTCTAGCGTTTACACATTTCTTTCCGGGTCCCGCCCAGGGACCTAAGGTTAGAAATGGCGTCATGACACTTTCCACTGACAAAAAATAAATAAATTACATCGATAAAGCCCTTCGTAAAGTGTGGGCTGTACTTGTCAGAACAATTTTTTGTATCTCTTTGAGGTATGGACTTCCAGGAATCCCTTCAATTAGTCTACTGCAATCTTTTTCAACCAGTCCTAGGGCTCCAACTACAACAGGGATTGTTGATGTTCCCATATGCCACATTTTCGAGATTTCTATTTCAATGTCCTTGTATTTTGACAAGTTTTTGAATATCTTCAAAGATACATTGCAGTCAGCAGGGACTGCCATGTCAATAAGGAGGCACCGTTTTTGTTTGTGGTCTTTAATAACAATATCTGGCTGATTGGCCTTGATTGTTCTGTCAGTGTGTATTGTGTAGTCCCATAGAATTGTAACAGGTCATATCTCCGTAACCGGGTCTGGGTGGTGTTCATACCAGTTTCTTTCAGTTTCCTTCCCGTAGAAGTTGCAGATTTTCCAGTGCAGATATCGGCCCACACTGTCATGTCGGGTTTTATATTCAGTGGGTGTCAACACCGTGCAACCTGATACAAGATGATCAATCGTTTCTGGATACTTATTATTATTATTATTATTATTAATTTGAACACTCAAACAAAAATAAAACACTATGAAAGTATAAAAATATTTTTTACAATTAAGGTAACATCAATATATTTTTATAGTAAAAAGTACCAACAATACATTTTATATAAAAAAAAATACCAGAATACATATTTATTGTAAAATAACAAACATAGTAAAGCAAACTAACCAGCAATATATTTTATCTGTAGCTGAAGTTATGTGATAGTGTTCGTAATATATTTTGTTGAAGCCATGAAACTATGTTAAGATATTTAGATTTCCACAATAAATAAATGCCGCTAAACAAAATCAACCAATCAAACAAAATGAAAGAATTTCTACAATATCAATATAATAATATATTAATAATTCAATATAATAATATATTAATAATTCCTTAAAGAAATCAAACTGTATTCCTAAATATAATCCAACAAACCTACAATATAAAATACAAATATCACCGCCTTTAATAATCATGTCTACGCAAGCATGCATCCACCCTGGGTATGACGATAAACTACATCTGCGTCGTGAGTATTACGTTAAACTACTTCCGACAGCAGGGAGCATGAACAGGAGATTTTGAAAAGTGTGGAAGCAACTCTTAATTACTGGTGTTCCCAGGTCCACCCTGGCTCGGGGTGGGAGCATCTGCTATGCTCCAAGCTATGTGCCAATTGTTAAACCCAAACTGGAGTCAAAACACGTTAAAATAAGTTTTATTACCAGCAATATATTTTTCTAATAAATTATTACCAGCAATGAAGTTTTGATAAAATAATTATTATCAACTGGACGTTATTACAAGCAATACATTTTTGGAAAAAAATTACCAGGAATGCATTTCTGAAAAAAGAAATACATTTTTGAAGAAAAATTATTGCCAGAAATACAATATTAACAGTAATACATTTTCGAAAGAAAAATTTATAAAAATACATTTTTTGATAAAAAATATTACCAGCAATGCATTTTTGAAAACAATATTACCAATAATACATTTTTTGAAAAACATTACCAGCAATAAAGGCATTGTCGATTGATATGCCGTAAAACAAAACAAACCAAACTAAAACCAATAAATATGCAAATACACATAACATGAGTATCATGTACCAATCATTCAGTTTTGAAAGCTTATATCTTATTTTTATTACTTCAATGCGCTCAAGAAAAATATATCGGCGGTAAATGACCCATAAGGAGTTGATATGTCGCCAAACAAACATATGCGAACATGACTCTGCTTTATATCTATGGCTTGCCAAAAATTCTTGGGGAAATTCGTGATGTTTTTTCCGTTAACTTTTCCAATGTCTAAAATGCAGAAATTTCCATCTCTCAAATTGCTTGGTAAAACTAGATAGCCCAGTTTGCACTGTTTTTTCACACACAGTTGGATGAGAAAGGGCGGATTTTGCTTTTCCCAGTGATATTTAGGCAAACGTGAATGTATCAGACTAGGCTGAAATTTGAACTCA